CAGGAATGCTAACACCTTTATATGAACCTACAAAGCAGATGTAATTAAGCCAATCTTCTTGCTTTTGATGTACAAAATAGAAAAAATTAAGCTTGACACTGGGTAAGAGTCTTTGCTACTGTGAACAACTTGAAAAATAAAATTCTACCAGAATTTTAGTGCATGTATTAAAGTATAAATATAGTATTAAATAGTTACATAGTATTAAATTATTACAGTAAGTCTTCAGATTTTCTAAATTCTTTCAAAATGAAAATTTCCTCTGTAGTAGGAGACAATTGTGAAATCATGGAAATTCTCTGAAAGTACTAGTAGTTCTTTTAAGAAATACATAAAAAACCCCCCCTCCTTTACATTCCCCCTAACAAGTAAGATTTTTCTCTCACAGCAGTTGCTCCTGTGTCCCAGGGTTAACACTATCACCAAAAGAAATAAAGAGAAGAGGAAAAAAAGACTTATCTGTAGTACTAATAAGTCAACAGATAACTAGAAAGAATTCATAGGGAACTGACCTTGTGGAAGTGATGAGATAACCTAGTATAAGTACTTAGTGTAGAACATGAATCAACATGAAGACATAAATCACAACTAGACAACATGAAGATACTCACCTAACACAACATGAGTGCCAGAATGACGCTTTTTTGTCCACTGCTCTAAGATATACTTGAAATTAAACTTGCACTCTTTATGAAATTTCAAGGCAAATACTGTATCGCTCTTCAGTGCCTGGATGACAAAGTAAAAAACGATACATTCACCTAACACAGCAATAACTGTTCTAATAAACTCTAGTAAACAGTGTATCTTACTAGTACCTAGCATACCTTAGCTGCAGGAAAGGGAAACAAGGGAAGGAGTTAATGAAATTCAGGTTGCTTATGTGAAAATGAAAACTGAGATTATGGAGATTAATCTTATTAATTTCCTGTATAAAAATAAAAGTAATAAAGCTCAGGTTCCTATGAATTATTACATTAAACAGATGTTTAGGAAAGTACAAATTCCATTTGAAGCTTTTCCTACCATCAAGGTGTCCTCATCTAAGTTGATTCTATCATCTAACAACACGCAGGCTCAAGTTTCAGTCTCTCAGAAAAAGCACTAAAAACCCCTCACTGATCTATGTACACTTAACTTGCATGAATGTAATATTCTCAAAAGGCTTTATGTATTTGTCAAGTTCAAGGTTCACAAATTAACCACTACAAAAGCCTTGGTTACTTGGTAAACTGGCACGTCTAATGAACTAAGTTAACACTTAAAATATTTTTGTAGGCCATTTAAGACATTTGAAGATGGTTTACACAAGGTTCACAGCAAACAGCTTCAATACTTCTTTAGCATCGTTAAACACTCTTCCTTTAAGTGATGGTGCGGTTGGTTTTGATATGCTTTAAAAAATTAACTCTCAAATATTCAAGGAAAACATGTTAGATAGTCACAAGACAAAACCAGATTTACTTCCATTAAACGTTGTCAAAGGTTAAACATTCCCAATACACTAATATTTACATAATAAGAATCCTGTAAACATCACAGGATCTATTCCAGCTTCCAGAAGGGAATACATTCCCATGTTTCAGGACTGATATATCTCTTCCTGTGGCATCTGAACAATCCAGCCACACATCCTTTTGCTATCCCATCCTTGAAGCTATCACCAAAGGAGCATGTTCTATTGCAGATAATTTTGAAGCAGGTATATGCCAGTTTTTAACAAAATACATATTAACCATGCCATGTTTCCCCCGTGCCCTGTGACATAACTAAATTCTGGTACACTGTCACAGGACGCCAGAAAATTCTATCTTTCAAACAGAATTGGTCTTCTACAATTTTAACTACTCCAGAGTAGAAAGCAACAGAACAGAACTTCTTAGCATGGTGGCTTAAGTTTTTTCCTCCCATACCACTTGTGGTAACAGTAAAAAATAAGATTAAAAAACTAGACAGAACTTTTACTGGGAAAAAAAATCCAGTTTTATTCAACTCAAAGTTCCAACCTGACTGACAGAATATAGTTAAGAATTTAGTAGTGAATGCATTCTGTGCCAGACATTCCTGTCAGGCTTTCTCCTAGTTATGAGAAGAGTGAGGTTGGAGCTATTTTTAGCTGAAATAATTAACTTCCAAATTCACACTCCTCCTTTATCCTCAGAAACCAAAATATTATAATTTGTCATACCTTAACAATTAAGGAAAGCACTTATAAATTTAAATCCTTTCTTACCTTATGAACCATTTCTGCTTCTTCTACTGAATCAGTGAATACCAGCACCTTCTGAACATTATTGTCTGTAAAATCCAGTATTTTGAGTAACACAGCAGTTCTCTCACTATCTGTGCAAGGTTGCACGACCTAGAAGTAGATACAAAGCAGAAGGTTGATAGTTCATGTAATCTATACATGTTTTACTATATAATTTTTTTTTTTTAATTAATAAGCACTAAACATTGTTACATAATACCAATGAGAATTCAGTAAATGCCAGCTCCAGTAAGTGGTAGGACTTCTGTTAAACTTATAGAAGATGTAACTCACAAAAGGTATGCATTTAGGACAGCTTCCAGAAGCATAATTAAAAACCAACACATAATCAAAATCTCACATTAAGATTTTTTTCATTCATTTAATTTCAAGTGATTTATCAATCTTTAAGTTTAACATTTTCAAGTACCACTAAAAAAGCTTCACATTCCAAAAGCATACTGAGCATGCTGCACCACCTGAAATACTCTTAATAATTAAAGCATCAAAACACTGACATTTTCAGTCCAGCCAAACTATTAGACTTCTCACAAAAAGTGGTGGGTTTTTTTCAGTTTTGTATCATGCTCAGAATGTCCAGTCTTAGACACCTCACAACATTCTCAATCCCCAAATTATCACATTTTGAGACACAGAAGAATTCAGATCATACTTACATCTTATATTATTCTGAAGGGCTACACCATATTGACTGGAAATTAAATGAGAAGGCACCTAAGAACACGTAATAACTTTCTGGAAAATTTAGGTCAAATTAAGTTCTGTACTATGTGGCACACAGCAGCAAAACAAGTATTTTACTAGCTCTGCTTTGGGATAACTCACCTTGTAGTTCTGCCACTCACAATTAACAATGCAAAAACACTGATAAAATCCTGATCACAGCCTATACTATTTCCAAATACTTCATATAAAATTCAAGTTCATTTGCACTAACAATGAAACACTCAAGGGAGTATTTTCACCTCAGTCCTGCAAAGCAAGGTGAAAGACCTTCAGCTCATTCAATTATTAACTTGCACAGGTATTCTAAGAGTCACCTCAGTTCATACACAGGAGGTGCCACCTGGACAGTCCGAGTTATGATTTAAGTTAGTAAACAAATAGTGACATCAGCCCCCAATTTTCACCTGTTGCACATTTCCATAGATGGAAGCTTCTTCCATAGCCGTTATCACAACATAAGGATCATTCATGAACTCCTTTATCAAGCGTGCTATATGTTTATTCCAATGAATTCCAACAGCAATAATCTGTTGTGGTGAATACTCACATTTAGGAGCTTTCTTGTAATAATCTAATATAGCAAAAACCTAAAAAGGAAAAAAGAAAATAAGCTTTTTCTATCCTCTTATCCTATTCCAAATAGTATGTGACAGCAATGAAAAGTACACTGTTTCAGCACACTGTTTTTTCCAGTCACAAAAACACCACCACAGCAACACACAAGTTTCACACCCCAAAATGAAACGTTAGGTTTGTGCACTTTCACCCTATTATTCGAATGACTTCTGAAGCAATAAAAAAAGTGACAGAACAGCATGAAGGAACAGCACGTGTGTGCACACACAGGATCACAACACGGGATTCTGCCTAGGGAAGATGGAAATGGAAATATCAGGAAAAGGATCTATTCAAACCTGAAAAATACTAAGGAGTTGGGGGGGGGGGGGGGGGGGGGGAGGGAGTGTGGCATAAAATAACTTATGAAAAATAATTAAAAAATAACTAAGAATGAATATATTCCTGATGACATCACTTACATAAGTGGCAAGCAGTCCAGCTGTGAAACAACATCAGGATTTCTGCCAAAGCACTACCACACTAAGAAGTATTCTAGGGCTCTGGCACACTTTTAAGATCTCTCCCAACCTGGCACTAAACTTACCTATAGCAGCAATATTTTTAACACTAACTTTTTGGTAGGGTAATGCTTTATAAGAGCTACAATAGTCCAAATGTTATCAAATGATCACTTCCATCTGAAAGAGCATCTCTTCTTTTTTCTATTCAAGACTGATACTTATGAAAAGCTGAGAATCTCCTACAGAAATGGCATTCATGCACAGTATTTTATAATCTTTCCCACAATCTCCATATGGTATACCTGCACTCTGGCTTAAGAGGTACAGGCTCACAACAGAAAGAACACCCTGAACAGAAAGAAGAATGTCCTATTGGATAATGTTTCATCTAATTTATGACTTGAGATTTGCTGCTACAAAGGCACATTTAACAGCTTCACATATAGCAAACTAGGCAAGCTATAAGCTTCTCTAGCTTTTCAGTTAGAAACACAGCTCTTCAGTCTTACCACCAAATTTTAAACAGGTAATAATATAAGTTAATGCTTTTAAAAGAAATCTATGACAGTGAAAAAAGGTGTGAGTGCTGGTTTTTGCATACTGATGATGTAATATACTGTAATACTAACAGAAAACATCTGTGTTATGAAGCCTCAAAGCAGCAATAAAAAAAATACAGAATTTTCTTAAACTCAAGTTGTAAGTCATCATTTTAAAACCGATACAATATTCACATCCTTGTCAACATCAAGCTTAATGCTGTTCCTCTTCCAAGATTCTCTGAGTTGGGATCAGCTTCTCCTTTTGCCTGCACTACCATTAAGGCCCAAGGAAAGTTTTTATGATTGCTTCCAAGCCTATTTGATCATTCACTTGTGCCTTTCATTCTACAGAGACTAAGGAGCTTATCAATAAAGATAGTCCTTGAACTGATGCTACTCAAATAGCAATAAGAGGGAAAAGGAAGTTACTTACAGATGATGTAAGTCCTTAAAGTAGATTAAAGATCCCTACGCTGAAACTAGCACTACCAAGAAGAAAAAAAATGCAAGTCCTTGAGAAACCATCCACAGCAAAGGAAGACAGCATAACATCAGTAGTGTAGAACAGGACAAGGTCTCTGATTTAGGAAAAAAAAAGGCCAGGAAAGTCCAATTTAATAGATTACAACTTCCCTTTTCCATTGTTTCATTCTGCCAGAAGTATACAGATGTGTTTGGTTTTTTTTTTTAATTTGTTTTCTTCTCAACTCTACTACAGGGCTTCAGGAAGGTTGTTTTTTTGTTTTTTTTTTTCCAGTGTGTGCCACTGTTTTCAAGACACGTGCACAACTCGAACAGTTTTAGCATCTGAATGTATAAAAGCCACTCACCTGTTCAGCAGTGTCAGAGAACAGTACCTCAATCTCATCAAGAACAAGATGGCAAAGTCTACAAAATAAAAAACCATGATGGTCAAACAGTCTCAGGAGGCTACACGGTGTAGTCACAATTATTTCACCTAGAAGTAGGAAGAAAAGACTGTTACCATTAACTTGCAAATTGAAAGAGCATTAATAACCATAGGACATGCTAGTTTTATTAAAATCACAACATTTGCATTTCAGATGCATCATCCTGAAGTTGGGGTTTGTGGGTTTTTTTGGTTGGTTTGGGGTGTTGTACAGTGAACTTGGTCAAGTCATTTTTAGTTTCCTTGTATTTTTTCTATGTACAAGAAAGGTGTTGAACATGCGGATATTTAAACAGCTTTAATACCATTTACTGTTAAATAGCACTACTGAAACTTCATGTATCACTACAGAGTTATAGCATTAAAGAAACAGAATTATCACGTTCTGGAACAAAAGACTTAAGACACATAAATTGCTTCTTTCATAATTTCCTGCAAGAAAGGCAGCCTACATTGTTTTCAAGTGTAATTAAGAAGACAGAAAGTATTCTTACATCCTTGGATTTTCACACTTTCAGCTGCTTCTTTATTCTGCCCAAGTATTATCAATATCGGATGAAGCCGTCTGGAGCGTCTCTCATACGTTTTCAGTAGCTCAAAAACAAGTTCTGCCTTCTTCCATCCAGGACATAAAATAAGTGCTAGTGGCTACGTAAATATGCATAAAATTTTACACCACAGTACTAGGCAAGAGTTCAGAATCTTAACAATTGTACTACTTCAGCATATAGGGCAAAAACAAAATCTGCAACCCAGGCCTTTAAGTACTTAAAAGTTTTTAGTACTATATCACTTCCTAAATGCAGATGTTACAGACCCAAGGAACCATATACCAGGTTACATGGAGACAAGAAGGATGCATGCAGGAACATACAGTAAAAGGTCAGAAAATTTAGCAGGAGTATCTTGTCTTACTTGGGGTTGTACCAGGCAATTTCCAGAGGTGCCTTACAACCTCAGTAATTCTGTATTTCTGTGATCCAATACGAGTTAGAAAGTGAATTACAATATTCAAAACAGCTAACGCAAATTTTAATTTAATGCCTACATACTATCTCCTTAAAATAAAGCTTCATCCAGTATCAAAGTAATATGACATTAACCACTTGTTAGATTTACTTGATAAATAAGTTTGACTCCCACATTCACCCAACCCATCTCTGTAAGCCTCTAAGCAGGGGGCCTATATAAACCAGCAAGCACAATGAAGATATACTAAGATCACATTAAATGTATACATTCTAAACATCCACTATCTTTTGGATCATTATTTTCCATCCACACTTTAGAATAGAAAACCTGATACTACTCTAATATATACATACTCCATTCTTGTTTGGCAAGGCTTTGTAGCAACTTTTCAACTGCAAAAATGTAAGAACTGGTGGAATATATATGAAAGGATCATTTCCCTGATATGAGATGGCAACTACATCACATCCTCGAGCTATTGGTGGCCAACAGTAAGATTCTGTGAAGCTAGGGACAAAATTTTTCCGAGCAAGTTCCTACAGAAAGAGAAAGTAGGAGTTCCACATGAATACTGTGTACTTAAAAACCAATAAAACAAGACAAAAAACAGAGTGATATAAAAGCTTTTGACCACTACATAACAAGTGTCCTTAACATGCAATATGAAAAAGTTCTTCAGGGCTGAGGAGTTAAATTATTATATTAAAATTCAAATCCCATGGCTTGTGGCAGTGGTTAATAAACCAGAAGAATGTGTACAACTGTTATAGCACTTCTCTGGAGCTTCGTTTATTCAACTGCAAGAACAACCTCCTAGACATTCCTCAATCAAAATCAGGTATTACTATAATATTTAATATCTAAAGCTGGGATGCAATACTAGCTTTACAAAGACATTCAGTGCAACAAATTACAGTAGCATTACCTTTTTCAGATTATCAAAAACTGGTGCTGTTTCCAGAACTGACGATGGCTCAATTTTGTTGCTAAGAAAGACAAAGTTTCTCTCTTCACCAAGCTTCTGAAAACTCTGAAACAATGACAAATATATGTCAAATAATTAAATTTTAGGGTTTTCGCTTACATATGACTCAGAAGCATTTACTGTATTTAAAAATGGTATTTTTATGAAACAGAGTCAAAGAAATTTGATGACACAAACTTCAGAAAACTGCCTAACTTGCTACAGAACAGTATTTTCTTCACTAAGAATCAAGCATGTGACAAGATCACCCACAAGAAAGAAAAATTAGTTCATGGTCACATCTCAAGATATAACTGGAGACCTGAGCCAGTATTAACACATACTGATTAATTTTTAAACATTTTAGTTTTTAAAACAAAATGAAGAAAAATCATGGAAATGCTGCACGCCATAGACAGGAGGGAAACCAGAAACAGGCCACCCGTCTGCACGCTCCCGAAGACAATGTCCATGAACTTAAATCGAACAACAGTTCAAATCCTCAAGGGAGTAAGCAGTAGCAGATACTGGATCCAGAGTTACCCGAGGTGTCTGAATCTGAACAGGGGATTTTCTAGCACTCATCACTAGTCACCAGCAATCAACATGCACGACTTGGTCAAAGACCTGCATTGCTCAAGTGGCTGGTAAAGGTAATTCAGCTGACTGACTGCAGAAGGGTATAAAGATAATCCTGCTCTGCTTCAATAACAATCCAGGCTACTACTTTCATCATCGTTCTTTCAAAAATATTTCAATAAGGTATCACAGTTTAAGTTCAGGAGTGGTCGTCATCTTTCAATTCTCAGCAGAGCTAAAAATAACTTCTGTAAAACTCTTGATTTTCCCCCGAATCTGACAGGAAGAAGTAGTTCCATTGCTGCCAGAGAAGAAAACTTCTTTGAAGCATCTAACAGAAGAGGACATGGAACAGCACACAGGCTCTTTTAAAGAGCTGAGATCAGATACTCTCAGCAGTGATTATTTGCCTAGAATCTGTCAGTTCATTTTCCTTTCCTCTTGTGGACACTGTAAAAGCTCCAATTGTGCAATCCAGCACACAATTTAAGGCTCAAGAATGAGTGCTGACCTTTTGAAAGCGTTTCAGAAAAGAACAGTAAGCAAAAAAAAGAGAAAACAGCAAGAAAGCAGACTAGACATTGGAAGTATTAGACAGCAGAAGACTCAACAAATAAGAACATGCTCCAATGAATGTGCACCACGGTACAGTATAAGGACTACTTTGTTTTCAGGGAAACATTAAAGCTTACATTTTTATATATTCGGAAAACTGTGCAGTGTAGAAAGCTATCATCTTCATAAAACTATAGCAAAGCAGTGCAAAAGGAAGCACAACCTTTTCATGGACTCTAGTGCATTTTTTAAGTTTTCTGCAATTTGAAAAAAGAAACTGAAGTAGAATTTTCTTTTTTAACTTTTATATGAAGAATTAGTGCAGTCCCCCAGATCTATAGAAGAACAATCTGTATGACTAGAGAATTCCTAATCTGTCCTATGTATGTTTAGCTTAGCTAAACTTTGACAATTTACAAAATAAAATATACAAAATATAATACTTACAGACACAGCATTTTCATTTAGATCTGTGCTTGGCATTTGGTATGTCTCTTCAAAAAAGGAACTGGAAACAGCAGGACCTAGAAAGGTAAGTAAAAAATGCAGAAAAACACTTCTGATTATGTGAACACATAAAAAGTCAGTATTTTTATTTACAGTGGGCTGCGATTGACTTGTTTAGTTGCTGTATCATTTCCTAATGGCAAAAAAAACAATAAAAAACCCAGTTATCTTTACATGAAGATAACTATGCAGATGAACTGAGTGAACAAGGATGGAGGATGGAAAGGTACATACTTTTAAAAAGAAAAGACCTGAATCACTATAAATGAGACAATTCCTGGTAAACACTAGTTTTAAAAGTACCTCTGTTCAAATAAATCCCTCCAAACTCAAAGAAAAAGTAATGCATTATTGACCCATGCCACAAGTAATTTCAATAGTATCTGATGCTATTAAGCATATCAACGAATGCCTGTGTAACTCACCCTCAAGCCTTATTTTGTCTTATATAGCACAAAAAGCTCTACAGTACTCCTGCATCTGATGATTTGATTGGTCTTTGTAAAGTCTGATACAAAAGCACTGCTTGTTAGAAGAATACCATTCAACCTAACTGTTAGATTTGAACTGAGGTAGTAGGTTCATGTTCAACACATGCAATTCAAGACACATGATGCATGGCAGGTATGATGGTTTCTGACACACACAGTCCCCACCTGTTTCATCGTTTGTTGATACCTTGTCCTGAAACAGCACTGGCTTGAAAGCAGGTGCAGGATTAACAATTTTCTCTGGAAGACACTCAGCATTTAATGACATTTGGTTCTCCTGATAATCTGCAGAACTCCCTGTATTCTCTTCAGCTTCCTCAAAACGAGCAAAGTTCTTTGAGACAAGATCATCATTAATGCATACCTAAAAAAACTCAAGATCAACATGCAATAAGCTACACCACCACATACTTGTTCGGAATTTATATGAAGCTTTAAACAACAGCAGTAAGACATAAGCAGTATCAGCAAACGCTTTCTGAAGAATATTAACTCCAGAATAAGAAAGTCAGTTATCTCTCCCTGTATGTTCTCTAAACAGGCATTAATTAGTTGTCAGTTTCATGCCTCAGATTCCATACTCAACTTTTGCTATGAGCTCTAAAAATAAAAAAACAAAACCAAAAATCTGTTAGTAGGTCAAGCTGGTTTCTTTCTTTTTGATTCATTGTGCATCAAAATCTGGGGAAAAAAAGTAATACTAAACCCCAAACTTGGAAACCATGGACTCGGAGATCAGTGACGCTATTGCCAATTGGGATTCCAAACTGAGAAGAGATATTAATATGTACCTTCAAAGTACAGCACTTTCTACTGCAAAGACTACAATTCCAGTGTTAAAAGCCTTGGCAAAGCATTCCAAGTAGAAGCTGTATTCAAACAAATTCATCTGTATCTACCATACAGCTGCTTAAGTCTGTCAGCAGATACAGTACAGATTTACCAGGAGTTACATGTTTTGGCAAGTGGAACTATTTTTTTTCCTTCAAAGGCCTGAGGACTCAGTCTTATGCAAAGGCAAGTGTGAACTTTATCTGTTTTTATAATACTATGCAACCACCTTATTGAAACAGCTTTAAGCACGATACCACAGAAAGGTGCAAAAGTGCACCAAGTAATTCACAGAGTTGTCCATTTGAAATACTGCAGGACTTCACTTGCTTGTCTACCTTCCAAAAAGAGGTTCGTATAAAGAAAAATGGTATTTCTGCCTCCTGGAATTCCCCCAGAAGTTTACAAGCAATAGAAATGCAAAACAAAGCCTCTAATAAGTTAATGATTTAGCTTCTACTGTATCTGACAAAAATAACAAAGCTCGCTTGCAAGTAATGCTTTTCAGTCTTAAGCTAATCACAAAGTTATAACTTAAACAGCAAAGTGCATTAACAGGTTTGTAGATTTAAAAGTATCTTACCTTTTCATCATTTATTGTCACATAAAGTAAAACTTCAAGTGTGTTATCATCTACAGCACACAACTGGGCTTTCATTTGGGTAGTTGCTAAATGCAGTAATAAACACAAGAACAAGTTAAAAAGATTAAATACCTATGAAATTATCAGTATTTTTCACTTGTATTTTCCAAGATAGACAAAAAACAGAAATCACAATTAATGTGCAATCGACTTCTTTAGAGAAGCTAGTAAAAAAGTAGTAACTTTAAATGAAAAAAATAAAGTAACAAGGCAACAAAAACTTAAAGTTACAGAAATTAAGTTGTCCTCAAGTCTTTGAAGGAAGATTGAGAGCTGAAAGAGATTAATGACCTCTTCACGCAAACTAGTCTTAGTTCTACACTGAAAGTTTTAGTTTTATCTCTTAGCCTCTGACAATCTATAGTATAAATGCATACTTTCCAAACCTGACATTCATTTTTCTCGAAATAAGTTATATTTGCCCATTTGTATAGCTTTGTTAGGCTCTCTTCATTCAAGCAAATATAGCTGATAAAGTCTTAGTAAATTCTGAAGCATTTCTTCTGCATACACTAATGATGTACCAGTAATTAAAAAACCCCTATATATTACTACTCATAGTATAGTCGTCTGGGAATATCTATGAAATTAAATTCAATGTTATTATTGCTCCTTATTAACCTTTAATTTGCACAGTGATACTTAGGGGGGAATGGGAGTAAATAATAAGTACTATGTCCCAGTTAGCATATGAAATTATCAGCCTAAAGGCCCTTAACCGCTTTCAAACTCATCCTCTCCTCCCCAAATACTTTTTATGTGGAGTTTGTTATACTTGTGAATAAGCAGCTAGGTAGTTTTTCAGGTAGAAGCACATAAGCAAGATTAGAAAAATCTCAATAAAGAGCCACTTTTCTAGTAAGATCAAAAGCTGTCTCATACCAAAACAGAAGGCTTGGTATGAAAAAGATGGCATGACCTACTGAAACACCAAACATGGGAAAGGACAAGGACAGACTGGGGAAAAAGCAGTTCTAGCTTACTAAATAACTACTTGGTGCTCAATCTATTTGTTAACAACTATAATAAAGATATTCCTCTTCTGAGCTGGGGCTTACATCTTTGTCAAACAACAACTGAAAGGGTAAACTTGTAAGCCAGACCTTGCCACCTCTAAAAAACTGTAAAAACACAGCTACAATAATGATTCAGTACTCAATACGCAGCCCCACAAAGATTTTTGCCCTTGTCAGTCCATACAAAAAACTTTATGTAGATTAGCTCTCTATTTTTCATATATACAACATTCTTAAATATAAAATATATAATTCTCTAACAGTTTATTTATCCCAAAATAGAAGTGTCAATTATGATTTTGGCAGGATGTTTTATTTACCTTGGAGAAGGCTTTTAAAATACCGAGTAGCTGCACTATCCCATCTTTTGGCTGGTCTAGGAAAATAAACACAACCAGTTATCCCACATCATCAAAAATTAAAGCAGTAATGTTGGAAAAAACTTTGGACAAATGTGAAGAAATTATTTCAAGTCATGCCAAATCTTGAGAAGTGCACTAACTAGTCACATTACCAAAATCTTACTACTTAGAATGTAACTTCAGTCCTGATAATATTGGGTCAGCTCATTAATAAAATGAGCTGATCAAAAATTACTGGATATTGCTTTGTCAAAGTATGATGGTTTATATTCAACATAAAATACAATGGTTAGAAGTGAAACACAACAGCCAAACATAAAGCAAGAATCCACTTGTGGAACAAATAGGTATTGAGTAGTTTCAAACGAGCACTTAAACATTGAAGTGCTGAAGACAAAGGTCTGCAGCAGAAAGTTCACTCTTTACTATCTTCTGCAACTTTAAGTATAAAATAAAAAACAATACAAGGAGGAGCACCATAAACAATCTACTACTTTTTTGACAATTCAAAATGATGGTCCACTCAAGATGTATGCTGTTCCTTCCTAAACTATGCTAGTATTTGTTCTGTCAGAATACTGAAGTCAAACACTAATTTCTTACAAACAAGTGTATAAAAAAAAACCCCCAAATCTGCTTGACCACAAGTAGTTTTAAAATTTTTTAATATCACAAACCAAAGTAGCTGTCTTGGTTCCCAGATCTAACCATGGGATCTAACCATGTCCCTCTCAAGTTGGCAATAGCACCCTGGAACTCAAGGATACAAAAGCATTTTTCTTTACTACCAGACCCCAGTGAAAAGCTTATTCAAGTCCTTCAAGACTGCAGTGAGAAAAAAGTTGGCATGAATATAACAAAAGCACAACAGGAATCCAAAATACATCAGGAAAAAAGACAGAATGGGGAATACCAAAGCTACCTACAAACATCTATAGACCTTCAATTCAGCTAAGCATGTAACTATCACAAAAAAGGAGTAGCAAAAGTAAGACAAGCATCTCTAAGAAAGAGCACATAAGGACAGATTGGTAAAGTTCATATGCTAGGAATCAAGAAACAGCTCTGGGCAAGAACTGCCAGAAACTTCTCTAAATTTCTGACCATTTTTAAATAAATATCAAAAGATTCAAACATGGATAATAAATCCCAAAATCATTAAGGAAGAACCATTAAGGAAATAATTCAATTTAAGAACTAAATGGAAAATATTCCATTTAAGAAACTGAAACAGGTTTACAAAAGTGATTTCCTACGATGCTCTTGAAACATCTGTTCTAAAAAAGAAATTCTGCAATAAAACTTCACACTTAAGATAATTTATGAACAGAAAACATTTATTAAACTCTACTTACACTATTTTTGCAGTATTTTCAGAAAAGTTGATACGCAGCGTCACTGGCTTTGTGCAATACAGCCTACACTTTTTTGCTCTATATGGGATCTGCATAAATGCTTCCAGCGCAATTCGAATGCTTAAAAACAAAGCAGAAATAATCTCATTTTACAGAGCAGATTTCATTCTCCAGAAGTCATTGGTCTCATACACATCCTTCTGTTTCACTGTATCTGACACCACAGTTCTTCCAGAAGTTTGGCTCCCACCGTGAAACACCCTGGAACCCTGCTACCAGAAGCAATGAGTGAATGGATTTGTTCCGGGTATGAATACACTTCCTATTTACTCAGTCTTTCTGATCCTTCACCACGACACTTTAAAGTCTTTTCACAATATTTAGCCCTCATACTACCACATACATCACCCAGCACTGCATCTTCTTACTTCTGTGTAAGAAACCAGGAAGGTTAAATCAGCAAGAAGGAAATCTAATACTAATAAATACATTAATTTGCATTTGTCATTTTGCAATTATTACTTCTGTGTAAGAAACCAGGTATGATTAATATCAGCAAGAAGGAAATCTAATACTAATAAATACATTAATTTGCATTTGTACTCTTCCTACAAATGATTTATTCTTTATAAATTTACTACTGGAGTGTTAATCATACCCTTTACATTTGGTTTGGTTGGAGACTCTTAATAACCAGCAAGACACTGTACATAGCAAGCTTTAAAGATCCATATATTTATCACTTTTGTTAAAAAGTTTATTTTAAAATGAAAAAGCAGTAAATAATACATTAATTTCTAGCTGAACATACTTTAAACTCAGGGCAGTATTGTCAATTTGTTTTCTAATACAGCAACATTCCATTTAAAAACATTAACTTGAGTTTTAGTTTAAAATACTTTAAGTAAGCTTTCTTAATTTTGTAGAATAGTGCAAGAAACAAAAAACCCCACAACCAATTTGGTAAAGCTTCTTGTATTCAAAGCAGCATATTTTATTAAAGAAATGAACTTTAAAGCTAGCTGAGAACTGGAACAGTTATTCTTTAACACACATTTTTCAAGACTTTAGAAACAGTATGTTTCATAGTGGTTTTATTAAAAACTGGGAACCTGTGAAAACTCTTTTTTTTGCACCATGCCCAGACAGACCAACAGCTCTTAGTGATGTAAACAAGCTAGTAAACTGCAGTGGGAAAAACCGCGCATGTTTGCGTCTAGATGTCAAGTTCAGCAACTCAAACCCTGCTTCCACATCATGCCTGGTGAATGATCTTCACTGGTTGTAATTTTTTAGTATCTAATCACTTAGTAAGGGAGGAAAGTATATATATATAAATAACGTTAACTGGCAAGCATACAGTTCAGTCATAACAAACTGCCATTATTTCAATTTCAAATCTTTAAAAAAAACCAAAAAAAACCCCAAAACCTACAATAAAAAGCATCTTTAAAAATTCCCAAAACAAAGACTGGTTTGCATCCACTCCTGCAAGGGCTTATCATATGCCTAGCAGTTTCTTGTGGACCCAGCCCACACTTCGATTAAACCAAAGCCTTACCACTAACAAGTTAAATAAATATTAATAGTGTTTGTATACATTAACTAACAAATACATTTCATTGACAGTGTAAAAAAACCCAAACACTTACTCCTTTGATTTAACAAATACATATTTGGCATAATCCACAAGAAAACATTCCATTTGATAATGATCTGTACAGAACATGATCGACTTAATAACCGCTCTACACCAGCATTTGAGTTCCTCACTGAAAACCACACAAATCTGAAAAAGAAAAAAACCCCAAAACAGCAGGTTCTTGTAAATGAAGTAAATTACATTCAAAGTTTTTTTTAGAGGCAAGAATACAGTATTTATTACATAGCACTCGATTTTCTTTTTAAAATACAAGCATCCCAGCCTATGTAGTTACGAAGTTTACAGATACAAAGACACAACCCATATAGACATTATTATCTACTTTTCTACATAGCAATATTGAAAAAAAAAAAAAAAGAGACTAATGCATATCTTGGATACTTCACCCCCAAACCAATGCAAATAACAGACTACTTCTATCTACACAGTATAGCAATGATTTTACCTGGCCTTCTTCTACTGTTAGTGGTTTTACTTCATCCACATCTCTGTAAGGGTTGTCATAGAACTGATTCATTTTGGCATTCAGGTTTTTATATTCTACTTCATCAACTATGTAAGGCCCACAGCCTTTTATAGTAACCCAAAAGCAACCTGGATCTTCAATCTGGGGCAAGGGATAGATAACAACAAATACTATTAGCCCCTGCCAAAATGATAGGATGTTTTTAAGAACACTGGAGCAGCAAATGTAAAAACAAAACTTGAAATCTTTAGTGAGGGACCCTAAAAATTATGGGGACTGATACTTAGCACACAGAATGTTAACAAGCAAAACATCTTTCAATTTCAGATCATTAGTTCATTAAATTACTTCTCAGCTTGCAACTTTCCTTAGCACTGCAATTAATAGCATGTGTAGTCTAAAATGTAGTAGCATTATCTAAAAAGTTGTTTAACCCAAACCTAAGTGCAAACACAAAGCTTTTTATTTCTCAACTGTCTTCAAGAAGTACATTAAAAAACCCCAAAAGACACAACAAGCCCCACCAATGGACTTTTCTTCATGCTCAGAGAGTCTACAAGACAATCAGCTGCTTTAAAAGTGGGTCATAGCTTTCTGCTCAGCCTTCTAAACCTTTATATCCCTGGCTTTCAACTGTTGTGGGTTAATCCCAGTAGGCAGCTAAACACCACACGACTGCTCCCTTTCTCCCCTGCAGTGGAATAACTGAGAGAATTGGAAGGGTAAAAGTGAGAAAACTCATGGGTTGATACAAAAACACCTGAATGGGTAAAGCAAAACCAGGACACTGTGCAAGCAAGCTAAGCAAAATAAGGAATGGATTCACTGTTTCCCATTGGCAGGCAGATGTTTAGCCACCTCCAGGAAAAGAGGACTTCATTATCATGTAACTGTGACCTGGGAAGACAAATTTGGTAACTGCAGACATCACCCTTTCCTCCTCCCTTCCCGCAGCTTTTATTGCTGAGCAAGACATCATATGCTATGGCACAGCAGCTGTCCTGACTGTATTCTGGGAAAATGATTTTTCCATGATCTGCTGTGGAATTCAGTAGAATCTATGGTATACTACGCTCTATTTCAAGATTATGTTGCACATCTTCCATTTTAGATTTTAGCTGCATCCCTACTGATATCCTTTGAGATTAAACCAATATAAATACCTAAAAGAAATGACAAAACATATATAACCCATATATGACCCCACATATGTAAGAAATTGTTGCTGAATGGAAACAGAGGCATCATCTTATTTGCACATCTGACTTCCAGAGTTGCACTGAAATAAACAAACAGCAATCCTTTAGAGTTTAAAAAATGCCAGCATACCTCTAATACAAAAACTTCCATGTTTCTCAGCTAGAGGCTTCCTCAACACTGCTGTAGAAGAACAACAGACATTTGATTAACCATTTTTAAAGCTGTCATTTGTTTTGAAGCATATCTAAAGAACATACACCTAAAGCAAGCCTTTAGATTTTTGCTCTTTGTTTTACGACTATTAATGTAGGCAACTGATTTACACATATTACTGGGTTCAAACCAGGCTTCTTAATGAAGCACTGTATTAAAGGATAACTAAGATTTGTCATCCATGCCTATTTACAGGCCGCCACATCAATTTTTGGTACACCAAAACATACGTGTTATCCTTAACCTACTTACAGTATGTAGCTGCTTATCTTACATTCAAAGGCTAACAGAAACAGGCTGATTGAAGACAAGAGCTGCTACAATGTAGGTACATGGCCAATTGAACAGAAAAAACAGAGGAAATGCTTACATCATCAAAAAAAGAACCCCATCAAAAAATATTAACACAAAAGAAAAGTCCTAACCTTAGCAAACAGCTTCAACATAATAGATTTTTACCAGTATTTCACATTACATTTATCTGCAATTGCACATATCAATACCTTGGAATTACAACAGAGTAATAAGCTACCTACAGACTGAAGTAATTTGCATTTCCTTTTCACACAAACCAGCACATCACACAGCATCATCAGTGTCTAGCTTACCACTTAAAAGAATTCACACTGGAAGTTAGGTGCCTAATAAAATGTTTTGGGAGAGGAAAGTCAAGACACTGGCCTTCCACTTCCAAACCCAGGGTTGAACAAGTCAGTAGTAAATAAGAAGCAATACAGCTACACTATGGTCATAACCAGCAACATGATTTGCTAAGAGATGGTACTCATTATTCTCAGTTTAAAACTACAATGTAAGAGCAGAAACTATGTTGGAAGCTTCACCTAAGATGATACAAGCATACCATCCAGGTTACACTTAAGCCTGCAATAGTGCACTGTAATATACTACACCATGAGATACACAGTCCTGCCTTAGATGCTTAAAAATATACACTTTTATTTCAGGAATAACATGCAAGAGACATAAATAACCTCTCCTAATCTTTCAAAGTACAGAACCAGTAAATGAGTAAATGAGGATAAAGCACACTCACATAAAAGGCTCCCTCCCCTAATATAATCCCAGTAACAACACACTTGCTTTGTTATTAAGAACTAAATGAGAACACAAACATTTGCTCACATCCCACACCCGATGCTACGGATTTACCTTGTAAAGATGCAACAGGTCACCGAACTCCTCACTCCACACTGGTGCCTTGGGAAAAACACTCCAGGAGAAGGTGAAAGGATGACTCGTCAGCAACACAAGCTGGACACAAGGACTCCTAGAAAAGACACCCAACTCACTATCCCAGCC